AAGTGAAGTCTGCTGCGGTTCATTTAAAAATGCCATACTGCATTCAGGTCATTTCATTAGCTAGCTGCACATCAATTCATACAATAGATCAGATTGGAGGGTTTTATGTTTATTAATGGAGACAATGGGCCAAATGAAATGACATGTTTTTAGCTCATTCCACTTAGAGGGCATCCTTTATATTTCTGATCAAAGTGTCTTTTCACTTGGCAGCCAAAAGAGTTTTTAATGCAGCCGCCTTCCACTAACCGTTTTTATCTTAACTTACAAAGCTTTTGGCTAATGACCAGCGCTTTATCAAGGCTGAAATGGAGAGAAACAGAAGGAGCTCACTGCAGGCCCATGTAAGGATTGCCTGTATAATAAACCTGAGCTAAATCAGACAAAGCACCAATGGCAAACCTGATTACTTGTCTTTGCACATATTATTTGTCTGTCTGAATTTAATTTGCCTTCAAACACTCACATTATGGTTACCTGAAATATTGAAACGCAAGAAGTAGCTGTCAGAGTGGGATAATGTAATAAATGCTAGAACGCAAAAGGTATGATTTTGCTCACATTGAATTATTTTCAGTTTATTCAACACCCACATCACCTGTCACTGTTGTTACACTTGCTGAGCATGATTTGCCAAACACCATATCGGACAGATTGCATCTCTCTGGTCTGAAAACTTTTGCCTTCACACTGAAGAGCCTCTATACTGGCATGGAGGACTTCTGTTTGTCGAAGTGTCAAATTGTGTTTCCAGTTTGAAGATGAAGCTTAAAAGGAAACTAGCTTTTGAGGTCAGCAAGCAGCAACACAAGGACAGATGTACTTTACTGAGTGGGAGAAAAACTGATCCTCAGTGCATTTCAAACTGCTTATGTTTATATATACACATACACTCACACACAAGCACATAAGGGTGATGCCGAAGAAATGAACAAACACCCACCATAGTCTACACTCTTAAAGGTTTCAAAAGGGGGTTTTCATAGCATTGCCACAGAATAACCATTTTTGGTTCCCCAAAGAACCTTTTGGTGAAGTGTTAATGTGAAGAACATTATAATAATTACAACCTTTTTTGCAACTGAAAGGTTCTATGGATATTAAACCTTCCTTATGTTATCATCAATTAAGAACCTTTATATTTAAGTGTTGAGAAATAGCCTACATGTTTAACACAACTGGCCCCTTACCTGCTTCTATAGAAAGAGTTTTCCCTCTGATTTCTGACATAATATGGATGATGTTGTTGTTAATAATGAGAAATAGTTGGTTTAAACTGAAAGGTTCAGTGTGCTTAGTCCGTCAGGTGCATTGCATATGACATTGATGTCATTTTATACATCTTCCTGTCAGCATGCCTCTATCTGCCACCACACTTCTCTCTATACATATTCCTCTTACACTAAGTGACATTGTGTAGTACTCAAAGTACAAGACCTGTCACTCTGAGCATCAATTTGAATGTCTACACAACACAAGCATCGGATGAGAAAGAGCAAAGTGGTACAGCATGGTACAGAAACTGGATTTTTCATCCGTTTTGCTCCAAAATAAAGTTGTCCAGCTCTTTTCTCTCATAAAGAGTGACAGAACATTTAAAATTTACATCACTGAAAAAATAACCACACATTAGCAGAGATACATGTATTTTAACTACTCAAGAAGACACCCATCTGAATTCCATCACAGGTCATCGCTAGAATGACAGAGCTTTAAAGACTTTTCAGAGTGCGCAAAATTAGGTTATGTTATCTATAAAAATAGATCGTTTTTATCAAAAGCATCTGCTGTCTTTTTAAGTTATTCTATTTAATATTTTTGCATTTTTTTCTTATAGTTATTGTGAAGTTTGCTTTTTGTAAATATTTAGTGATATATATATACAGTGGTGTGGAAAAAGTGTTGGCCCCCTTCCTGAATTCTTACTTTTTTGCATGTTTGTCACACTTTAATGTTTCAGATCATCAAATAAATTTAAATATTAGTCAAAGACAACACAAGTAAACACAACATGCAGTTTTTAAATGAAGGTTTTTATTATTAAGGGAAAACAAAATCCAAAACTACATGGCCCTGTGTGAAGAAGTGTTTGCCCCCCTGTTAAAACTGTGGTTTATCACACCTGAGTTCAATTTCTCTAGCCACACCCAGGCCTGATTACTGCCACACCTGTTCGCAATCAAGAAATCTCTTAAATAGGACCTGCCTGACAAAGTGAAGTAGACCAAAAGATCCTCAAAAGCTAGACATCATGCCGAGATCCAAAGAAATTCAGAAACAAATGAGAAAGAAAGTAATTGAGCTCTATCAGTCTGGAAACGGTTATATAAAGCCATTTCTAAAGCTTTGGGACTCCAGCGAACCACAGTGAGAGCCATTATTCACAAATGGCAAAAACATGAAACAGTGGCGAACCTTCCCAGGAGTGGCCGGCCGACCAAAATTACCCCAAGAGCACAGCGACGACTCATCCAAGAGGTCACAAAAGACCCCACAACAACATCCAAAGAACTGCAGGCCTCACTTGCCTCAGTTAAGGTCAGTGTTCATGACTCCAAAATTCCTCCACAGCGCTGTAACAGACTCATTGCAAGTTATCGCAAACGCTTGATTGCAGTTGTTGCTGCTAAGGGTGGCCCAACCAGTTATTAGGTTTAGGGGGCAAACACTTTTTCACACAGGGCCATGTTTTCCCTTAATAATAAAAACCTTCATTTAAAAACTGCATGTTGTTCACTTGTGTTATCTTTTACTAATATTTAAATTTGTTTGATCTGAAACATTAAAGTGTGACAAACATGCAAAAAAATAAGAAATCAGGAAGGGGGCCAACACTTTTTCACACCACTGTGTATATATATATATATACACAGTATACATATTTAATTTTATTCTTCATTTTTTGAGCTTGACATATTGTCTGTCATCCTTATGGTGCTCATATGCAGACATATCTTCTCCATCATTTCTGTCAGCTCTCAGGCTGTGACTCCCAATAAAACGGCAGTCAATAAAAGTCTAAAACAAACTGGTGTTGGTGACTTTCCAAATGTACAGTTAAAGAGCTACATCTTCCCACAATCTGCATTATAACAGTAAAACTAAGCTCTCGTGACCAATTTGATGTGCATTTCACCGGTGTCATTGCTTAAGGCATCAGTATCTCACCTGTGAAGAGGGCCGTTGTGTTTGGTCTGTCTTCTCTTAGACAGTGCTGGCTGGCTGGCTGTCAGTGCGCTGTGTTCCAGAGAATGATTGCACTTGGTTCTCGAACAGACTATGCTGCAGCACTCCATCAGCTACACCATCTGACACATGAACAGGTTTTCATCTGCTTGCTGTAAATTTTTTTTTGAGGCATTTTATAACCCCCTTTGCTGCTCACACAGAACACTTTCCTTTCCTGCAAAAGACCATTTCAAGAATTATTTTTAGCAGCACCCCCAGACCCATCACCCAAAACAAATCATCAGAGAAAACCGTCATCCAAAAAAAAATCCACCCAGAATGATAGGTCTAAACACCTCCACACATTATTCAATTTGCATACATCAACCAACTCGTGTCTTTTTTATTTGTGACCTTTATTAACAACATACTGCGTTACAGGTAAAAGAATGGAAGAACAAACGAATATTTCTTTTCTCTTGAAGTATAAACTCAGTGGGCCTCTACTGTTCCAGCAATGACAGCACTCCCATCAGGTGGGTGTAATGATGCAATACATCATCAAAACGCAAAGAGAAAAATATAAGCAGCCACAACATCTACCTAAAAAAAGTGCAAAGTTATAGAATAGCAACAAACAAATGGTCTACATCATTATGGTTTTCAAAGCTACAATTACTTCTGATGTAGTCAGCATGTTCATTGCAAGGGGTTAAAGAGTTTCACCAAAAATCATGATATTGTAGACATGCCAAAAAAAGTATATTTACATTCAAAAAGTGGGTTCCGAAATGGGGTTTTCACAGTAATGCTATAGAACCATTTTTGGTTCCCCAAAAAAACTTTCAGTGAACAGTTCTAAATAGTCACTTTTTTGGGACCAGTGACATTTCATTGTGACTAAGAGCCATTTTATTATTTTATTTTTTTTTCAAAAAAATACATGCTCTAAGTGATAGGACCTTTCTTTTAATGTTTCCAGCAAGAGCGTACTGGAAAATCTTTAAAACAATTAGCACAGAAACATCACGTGGCATGTGGTATTTTCACTGACCATCTATTAACGAAGGACCTCCGCAAATACATATTGGAAACAACATTTGTTCTTATTTTCATAAAACATGCATAACCAGCATACGTAAGGACACTCGAAACAAGGACCACTTCAAGAGCTGAAAGGCGGCTTTGAAGAGAATGACTTTATGGCTACTAAAAAAAGAAATTAAGATATGGCTTTTTAAATCCTGTTTGACATTAAAATCATTAAAAGGTTCTCGAATCTCAACTGCCTGTGAACAATTGGCATGATTTTCTTAATTTTGTCAAAGCATTTACAGCTTTGGTTTATTGTGACGTTAAGTCTGAATGACTCTCAGTAACGGCAGCCAGTGATGTCTGCGTAGGCAGCAACGTTCTACACAACCATAAGTGAATGTGCAATTCATCCAGGCACTCTAATATAATGTGATCTAATCAGCTTGATGTCTTTAATAAGCATTCAGCAGAGTTTATTCAGACTTTTTTTAAAGAATCGTTCACCCCAAATACGTCGTCATTATTCCCTCACCCTCATGTCGTTTCAAACCTGAATGACGACGACTTTCTATGTTTTACAGAACAGCATGACTAATTGATCATAGAATTTATTTTTTGGTGTAAACTATCACTTTAAGTTATCACTGCAACACTACAAGCATTCACAATGGATACTTCACAGTATATGAGGGTGTGCTGCTCTACCTCATTACACTCCAGGAGCCTCATGATTTTAGTATTCAAGAGCTTAGTATTAATTATCATCTCATTAAGCCTGATATAACTCAGAAGTGATATAGATATAAATGACAAATTCAATTGCAATGGCAAACAACCATAATATGAGCAATGTTTCATTCTTAAAATAAGATTAAGAAATTAAGATTTGTTGACAAGATATCTGCATTATGAATGAACAGCAGTGACAAGTGATACTCCTAGAGAGAGAAAACAATTATTGTTAAGAAATGCATCAAGTAATTTGAAAGTCCAACAAACTTTTGACCTGTTAAATGATGTATGCATGCCACAGAACAAAACCTAACAGCAGCTGTGGGCAGTTATGATTTATTTTGTGTTTTGTGTTATGCAACAAAAAAAAACAATATTCTAACTCTCATAGTATGGCAATGAAAATTTTGGGAGTGTGATCCCGGTGTAACGATAAGTAACATTTAAAAACTGTTCCCTCCAAATGCAAGTCTCCTCTTTTTGTTTTTGTTTTTTTTTATTAAAACCTGAAGTTGTGGGTTCTAACCTGAAGAGACACAACATGCACAAAACAGTGTGGATTGACAGAATATGAGGTTTATCTACTGTGGTGCTTACAAAAACTTATAATATGAGCAAAACAGCCATCAGTGGTTAATGGTTTAAAAGGGAAGGGTAATTTGCAGTTTTAGTATTTGTGAAATGAACATCAAAATCTAATCAGCCTTGTCATAGAGAATACAAAAAGGTTAAAAGAAAAAAGTAAATAACATTTGATTTGGTTAATGTTGGCATCCAGCTTGATTTTAATGTCCTCGTTGTCATCACACTCATCATAAATACTGAAACTAAAAGAATCAATTAAAAAAGGCACATCAGCCAAGGTCACAAACCGGCTGCTATTTTGCATGTAAATTGATTAAAAAAAAAAAAAAATTATGTCATGCTTTAGAGCAAATACATAAAAGAAACCGCAAGTTTCAAGATTTGAAAAAACAAAGACTTAAAACAAAACAGTGAACTACTATACATCTATTTAGTAATCACTGTCAAACTCATAATGACCTTCACCAGCACATAAAGTGAGAAAAACAATGAGTCTGTTTTATGAATACTTAGTGTCATGTTCCAAGTTCCTCAGTCTATGGTGACTGTACGCCTCCAAAACCACTGGAAGTTTTCAATCCGGGGTGGTTGATTGAATTAAAATCAATGACAATCCTGCCTTGCTTTGGCTGGAATTGCCTGTAGGACAGAAATAAGAACAGAAAATATTACTGAAGCACAACCAAATAAAACGCAAGTAGTTTGTCACTCTAGTCAAATCTGAGGCCTCCTTTTAAAATACCTTGACAAAAGTGAGAGAAAGAAAATTCACTCCTTGTCCTCATTGTCCAAGTTGTCACACCAGTAATTCACCTCAGCACACTGGAGTTGAGGAAACCAATTACATACTAGACCTCATGAGAGAACACAAGCAGTAACCCCCCTCCATAAGGCAATCCCAGCAGGGACCAAGCGCCCCAACATCTCATGAGAAAATACACTGCCAAGAAGAACCAAACCAGCAGGTGGCAAACTCCCTATTTTCCCACTTATAGCCTCGTCTTCTGCGACTGCTCCCTGCTTTTCCTTTTATTTTTTCCCTCTTTTTAATTCACTTTCTAACCCACTCCTTTTCTCTTTATTCTTTTATTAACCCCTCCCTCTCAGTGTGAGATGAGCTGGATGTAGCGAAAATCTATTCCTCATCATCGAACCTCTATAACAACAGAGGCTAATACAAATAAAATCTCTACTGACAGCAAAAGTATTCAAAATCTTTGTCCACGAACAACCACAAAGCTTTGTCTCTCGCTCCCCATGTTCCTTAATGCAAAGCCAGATTCAGCTGATGCCTGAGCAAATCGATTCATCATCTCATTCAGAATTCAGAATGCAGAATTCTGCACAGCAATGGTGAGGTTTCAAGAACACCTCTGTCCATCCTTCATTCCCTCTTCATATGCCACTGAAAAAATTTTAAAAAATCTTACATTGGAAAAACACACGCAGTACTGAAACCTTTTTTCCACAGGTCAAAACTGTGCACATTAAATAAGAAAATAGAAAGATTATGAATATGCAAGACTATGCAGCTAAACAACAGACAGATAGATGAAAATAAATGCCTACATAGAGCCTTGAATGTCCAAATGTAGCAAAGCATAGTAGTAGAATAGTTAAATGTCCAGATGCTTTCACTGTTGTATAGTAGCAAGGAGATCGGTAAAATAATCCATGTGACATCAGGGGTTCAACCGTAATATTACGAAGCTACGAGAATACTTTTTGTGCCCAAAAGAAAGAAAAAAAACGACTTTATTCAACAATTCATCTCCTCCGTTTCACCCTAGCGCCATTTTGGAGAGTATCCACTGAACGCAAACAGCGTATGTTGTTCTGTGTCAGCCGCACCACACGGATATGTTGTTTTCGTTCAAATCAAAAGCACAAACAACGTAGAAGTGGCGCGGAGGAGAAGAATTGTTGAATAAAGTCGTTTTTTTTTTTTTCTTTTTCGCAAAAATCAATTTCAATTATTTAAAAAAAGGTAAACATAGTACAGCCTAAAACTAAGGCATAAATCAAAATAATAGTAATAAAAATAATAATACCTAAACATTGCATTTATGTCGTGCAACTTAAAGGGTTAGTTCACCCAAAAATGAAAATTCTGTCATTAATTACTAGGAGATGAATTGTTGAATAAAGTCATTCGTTTTTTTTCTTTTGCGCACAAAAAGTATTCTCGTAGCTTCGTAATATTGCAGTTGAACCCCTGATGTCACATGGATTATTTTACCGATCTCCTTGCTACGTTTCTGGACGTTGATCGTGGTACTACCTTGCTGTCTATGCAGGGTCAGACAGCTCTTAGATTCCATCAAAAATATCTTAATTTGTGTTCCGAAGATGAACGGAGGTCTTACGGGTTTGGAACGACATGAGGGTGAGTAATTATTGACAGAATTTTCATTTTTGGGTGAACTAACACTTTAAGGGTGGATTAAGGTGTAAGGGATGGGTCAACAGAATAATTATAAATGAGAAATTAATTACAGATGTAATTACATGCAGGTATTTTTTTAAATATAAGTACAATGTAAAACATATGTACACAATAAGTGCATTGTATCAAGTGATTAATTTAAATGTAAGTACATAGTAGTTAAAGTCACCTAATATAAAGTGGGATTTTTCTTTCTTCTGCTGAACACAAAAGTGTGGGTGACCAAACAGCTGATAGTCCCCACTGACTTCCACAGTACAGGGACAAAATAAACTATGGAAGTCAATGGGTACCATCAACTGTTCGGTCGCCCACATTCTTCAAAATGTCTTCTTTTGTGTTGTGTTATGGTTTGATTTCATATGGAGTATGAGGCATATGCAGACTTGTGCACAGTGCTTACTCATTCTTCCCCAAGCGTCTATTTTCGAAAGCTCACAGAAGCTTTTTGAGGCTTCAGGTCACACAACACATCTGAGGGCCGGGCTCCGTTACAGCCTTGATTGTACAATCGTTCGGGCCAGTCAGAACCGGCAGGAATGCAAATGAAGCTTCTTAGTTTCCAAGCCACACACCAACCCCTTACTAAGGTCAGACTCGAGAGACTCACTTGTACGTGATGCCCGCCAAGTTAAGAAGCCGTCTGGAGGCAGTCATTTCTGGAGTGTCATGGTATTTGTCTGACAAATAGATCACATCTTTTATACCTGTAAGGCAAAAACAACAGAAGGATAGTGTGGGTCAGACAAAAGCACACTTGTGCGCACACACACACACACACACACACACACACACACACAAACAAACAAACAGAGAAATTTAAACAAACAGGCCCAAGGAGAACAGGGACCCAAAATAGCCTGTTAGGAAAGAACAAGAGCTTGTGCTCGGGGAGAAGGAAGGGAAGTCGATAACTTGTCGCTGCAGGCTCAAGCCAATATCAACCAATCCCAATTGAGACAAAATCTGCCCTGCTGGCAACTTTAAAACACGTGGTGCATTTGGCAGCACCCCCACGCATCCTGCTGACTACTCACAAGCAGCCCACATGAGGCAGCTCTATAAAGGGCCCCGTTATAGCCAAGATTTACAGAGAAATGTGAGGAATCTGGTGAAACCACTTAGACTCCCTCTTGCCCTTAACGCTTTCAGAGGTGAAAAGAGAAGTCCAACATTGCCAACGGTTGCTGCAATCACCGATGAATATACCGGAGAGAAAACACCCACCCCCCAAAATACACAGCGTCTCCATCATGCTTTTATCTGCACAGGAGGAGAGAAGTGCTCTGTTCGAAGGCAAAATGACTTGCACAGAGTGAATTCCACCTGTCATTAAAGGCTGTCATTACAAGCATGGGGCCTCTCCACGGTATTACTTGAACAATTTTTGAGAGGGAACAGATGAAATTACCATGGAATAGCCTGGCTATGCCATCTTAAAACCATTTTGGTGGTGACATTTTATGGTGCAGGAGACTTTGTATATCCAAGTATCAACGGGCTATTTAAAATAAAAAGCAAACACTCAATCGTGTCCATAAAAAAAAAAAAGTTCAAAATGTTCTAACTAAAGTCTGACGTGATACATAAAGAAGAAGTCAGAAGAAATAGCAGTAGTGTTTCCATGTAAACATGTCTTTTCATGAAAAGAACATGAGAATAAGCATCAGAGCTGCTCAAAAACACTTCCAAGACGACAAGCTGTCCAACAGAAGGGAAGGCTCTGATGGAAGGTGGAGCAGAACTCTGGAGATGCTACGTTTCCAGAAAGCTCTCTGGAGATGAGGTGACACAGTACAGTCCCTCAGTCCCTCCAAAAACAGTCACAGGAAGTGACAAGATGGCAGCTGCTTGGGAACTGAACACTTTAATTCCTCAGAGAGAGGAGAGGCTCTAAAGCAGTGCTTCAGAAACTGAAGTCTCCAGCTCCAAGGAGCAAAAGTGCAGGGGGGACATCAACATGGGAGCCAGAGAAAGTGAAAATGATTTGGTGTCATTTCATTCTGTGAGATTGAGGGACGGACACATTTGAACAGCATTCGAAAAGAGCAGTAACACTTTCTCGCTAGAGGAATAGCTACAGAATTAGATAAAGAAGGGGGGGGGCGTAATATCTGGGGTCTTCACTTTCTTGATGCCCCCCATCTCATTTACTGTGAAAGAATTAGACGAAGAAAAAAGAAATGGAGACAGTACAGTGGAAGAGCTCTTATTTTAGTACAAGAACAGTTGTCAAATGACTGACACAGCACACATTTAAGCAGGAATAGGATTAAGACAAATGAAAGCAGTGTCGCTGGCACAAAAATGCGTACCGATGGCACCAAAATACTGGAAAAACCTTCATTTTAATAAATCCCTCTGGTTATAATTAAATGATGTTACAGTTTTTCCATTAGAGAAGCACAGGCTGGCAATATCAAAAGGTTTACCATGCAGAAATAAACAAGATACAGCCTGGTTGCCTTTATAAGAGAATCAGGGTGGATTCGCATTCAAGTCTACTAATATTCCCCTTTATCCTCATGTTTTTTCCATGCAGAGGCTTTTCTGTTTCCTCATATCATGGGGCTTTACAACTTCTAGTAAACAAACATGGTCATAACACCTTCAAAATGAACAAACAGCGACGACACCCCTGACTCAATTCTTTTAAACTCAGCATTCAAACATTAAACATCCGCTTTGTTCAGCTCCATCTGATTGGCATCATCAGAGGGCGTTTTTAATGAGGTCGGACGTTCATTTTTAGCCGCGTTTTACTGCATCCTATAGAGTGCGAGGAGACGAAAGGGAAAGAAAGTGCTGTGTGTGTTCCTTAATGATGCCGGAACATTGAGAGGAAGCTGACACCCCACTGAGAGATGGGCCAGGACAAGGCCAAGCATCCTGAAGATCAGACAGCATCAGAGCGTGTGTCGTGCTATCTTCAGCACACAGCTTCAGTAGGCTTTGCCACAAGAGTACATGGAGGGGGATCAGGAAAAGCAAACCAAAGAAAGAGAGAGAGAGAAGATGAGGACAAAAAGACTTGGAGGGGAGGAGAGACACTGGGGATGGGGGTGTTAAGAGAGTTCAACAGATAAGAAGAGATTGAAAATAACAGCAGAGCAGGGTTTGGAGAAGGAAAAATAAGAGGAAGACAACCTGTCACCATGTAGGCTGTATCTAACCAGCCAAGAAGGCTCACAAAGACGACGGCTGCTCAAAGTGACGCCCACTGCAGGTTTCTCAGTATGGAAGGGTGACCATCGAGAACCTCCGTTTCCTCCTGTCTCATCCGTCATTTCATCTGCAGCCACATCAGCACTGGCACAAAGGCTCAAATATCTGAGCAGAAACGCTGATCCTGATGTGTGTGAAGTGCAGAGACGGAAAACGCATAATGCTTGCTATGCAATCTAATAGAGGTGAAAGGGTTGCCAAAAAAAAACGTTTGACACTCAGGTCTGTACTACGTTTCATTTTGTGCCTTTCTCAGAAAATATTAAACGTCTTTGAAAAGGAAAGTGATAGCTTTCAAGCATAATTACATTAATTCTTGGTGTCACTAAATCGTTGTACTGTTAGCAAGAAGACAAAGAAGCTAAAAAGATGTAACAATGAACAAAAAACTAATTATTTAATATATCTCTGACTATACTTGAGGCATATAAGTAGCAGGCGGCAGTCGGACTGTGTGAACAATCAATAGGAACAGTTTGAGAGCACATGTACATTCTTAGTCACATGCGAGACAAAGCCAGTTAAGAGCTCAGAGATTGCATTTCATTAAATTAAAGAAAAGCTTAAAGAGGTAAACAAATCTTTTATTCAAATTATTTCTCACTGGAGCAGTGTTGTTGCTAGTATTGAAATTTCTTTGCTTTAAATGCGTCTCTGGTGTACACTGCTATTGCGTCAAAGCATTTTAACAGTGAAAACAGGACCGTTGATATGTTCCCGATAGCGTACATTTAACAGCATTGTGCATTTTACGGTGACAACTAACAAAAAAAAACATGAAACTAGTAATGGCAAAAGTACATCTGCACCAAGTCGACAATATAATCTTTAATAGCTGTAGCTGTAATACAAACTTGTTTCCATGACAGATTTATTCAAACACTTTAAATAATGAAAACAATAGAATATTTAATATAGTACATATATTTGGCAAAATTCCCCTCCCTAGCCAAGTATATAGACACTGAATGGTTTTCCTGAGGTAAATTTAATGTTATGTGACATTGTATACAAGCTGTTTTAATGATGTCTTTCCGCAGTTGAAACACTGATTGTTCACTTACATGAGCCGTGATACATTTCAGTAAGTTGCTCTGTTTCTTTCATCATATCTTCTGATATTATTTCATGTTTATTTTGTGCTGTATAACTAGTAGCAACTAGGAAGAGATAATTGGTTCACTTGACGCTTGCACCGAGGCAGATCCTTCACACCACATTAGACAGCATCAAAACCATGTTTATTGTTTGCATTTAATGATAAAATTTACAGAATTTGAACGCTGAGACTTTGTTTTATATTAAAAGTAGCAAAGCAAAAAGCGTTTTGCAATTATTGGATGGAAGATCCGCGTCAAATAATATTTATTGAAATTCACGCATAAACAGACATGGGCACAGTAAAAACATGACAATGGAGAAACGCTAATTAAAGGTCACTGTTTTGGTCAATGATTTTGGCACTCCAAAACTATTTCATCCAAATAATAAATTGCTGAAATTTTGGTTCATCACCAGTTAATTTTATTCATGCACTACAGTGAAAATAAAAGTGTTGATTGATAAACCAACATGAACATCATGAAAGACACACACACACAGTCAGAAACAAGTTCAGACACACTCTCACCTGCTTGAATAATGAGTTTGGTGCACTCGTTGCAGGGGAAGAGCGCTACATACATGGTGCAACCCTTGACATCTGCCGAGTTCTTATTCATAATGGCGTTCAGCTCTGCGTGACACACTGCAACAAAACATGAAAGACCTGTTAGAAATGTTCAGAGTTCACGAACACACATACGTGCAGCACAGAATGATGCACCAAAGCTATGATTAATATCTTTGCTTCACAACAAACTTGGATTGAGCTTTCTTGGCTTGTCAACATTGTACCACTTCACCACAAAAAGGCTCCAGTCACCAGTTCACTGTTAAAAAGGAAAAAGATTTCAAAGCATGAGTCTGAACAGATGTCAGCTCTCCACAACATCACCCAGAAAAAGCCCTGTCTAATCACTCACTCTGCTCGCCTTAATTACGGAGAATGAATTGGCCCATCAGCGGTGGCACATTACCATTGCACTACGAAACACCAGCCTGACACGTTTATTTTGGCAGAGCTTCAGCACAAAGCAGAGAAAGAGAGAGAGGGCATGTAGTTATGATGGAAGAGAGATGTCAATAATTCACACAGATACACACACTCATTGTGTGTTTTAACTGGAAGCAGGCACACACACACAGTTGAGAGCGAGTGCACGATGATGATGATGATGGAGTACGATCAACCGTGTGATCATGGGAGGGACTGAGCTCTTAAATCAATTCTAACATGTACTGCATGTATATTAATCTGACTGGAATGTCAAATATTTAAAGGTAGTGAAACATTTTCAGGATAAACAATCAGCGGGTAAATATCACAGACGATTATGCTTAATAAATCAAGAGAAGCAGAAGCCATGATCACGATTAAAATACAATTAATCTTACAGCCCTATCTGAATAGAACCAACACCAAACTTACTTAAGCTAAATAAAAACGCTATTGTCTTTCAGAGCTGCTGTACAACAGAATCAGCCCAATTTCCGTAACTGATTCTGCTATTTCCTGTTTATCAATGTGAAGCTGCTTTGACACAATCTGTATTGTATAAAGCGCTATGGAAATAAAGGTGACTTTTTGTTAATGCAGCTGCAATAATAGCTGCCACAAAGTGACCTTGCCCATTCCCTCACTCAGCAGCTCCGCCTTTATCTCTCCCATCAGCCCCATGCAGGTGAAAACTAATCCATGACCACCGCTATGTGCTCAAGAGAGCATACACCTCGCCACACTGCGTTAACAGACACCATGTGCTGCGTTGACAGAGCCTGAAATCAAAAAAGCCTTTTCGGCGAGTGTTTAACGTGAGTGTGTACTGACCCGTCGGTGTCAAACAGAGGCAGAGTGACTGATAATTATGGGTAAAAGCTTGCTGCAGTTCAAAAGCCAAGAACCCAGGGGTCAAATGCAAAACTCACCATAGGGGTATTTGGTGTCCAGCTTGTTATCAGCACTGCGAGACCAGGGCAGCAGGTCATCGTCACAACCGTTGGGCATGCCATTGTAGCCAATACCCACGATCTTGTTTTCTTGATTCACAATACAGGCACCAACCTGGAATGAAATTGAAAAAAAGCTTATTTTGCATACATTTATCACAATGAAGACAGCCAAGAGGCACAAGCCTGGTATTAGAGAGAGAAAAAAAACATTCACGGTCTAGTGAGTCAAATAATCAGTCATACTACACTTTTCATTCCACTGACTTCCACTCATAAACATGCAAATGCAGAAGATCAAAACGCAAGCTTATGCGAATTTCACTGTGTTCCAAAGTTCAAGTTTGTTGAAAATTTGTGCCAATTCATATCATGTGAAGACAGGTAACCAATAAAAGATCAATACATCAAGTTGTGACTTTATTTGAATAAAAAAATGTGAGCTTTAAGCCTGCAGGATGCACCGTTGCAGCAAAGTGGAGTAGATTAATATTCTTACATTCTAGATGTATTGTATATTGAATGACGCTCTTAAAAAAAGACACTGCAGAGTGTGACATCACATTGTGACCGTTCCAGCATTTTAATTGCATATTAAATTTCCATCCAACTGGAGTACAATTTTTAAACTAATAAACTTGCATGCATATTTGTCAGTCAGACACAAATTATACAAGAATGAGATTTATGTAAGATTACAAGTAAACCATATGTGTTTAAAATATTTAAATACATAATAACCAGGTTTATATATGTATACATGTCATCAATAAATCCAATGATCTTTTATTAGTACTATTTGTAAACCATATCTCATATTTTAACTAACTGAATCTTGCATATTCCATATTTGAACCATATTCAAATTTTTTACAGATTTTTTTTCACAATTAAAAGATTTATGCACATTCTAAGGTTTCTGAATAAATACCAATGTAATTTAAATAAATACAACAGATGCAAATACTTCAACTATGCCACAATTTTTTTTTTTTTTGAGTGTTGCACTATTCCAGTTCCTATAAAATCTTAACTTTTAACTTTTTGTAACAAAATACACCACATTATAAACTCAACACTTGTGGCAGGACGATAAAAAAAAAAAAACTAAGAGACTCAGACTGATCTGAACTTAAGACAAGCACCTGACCTGATGGCTTACTGTATGTTCCAGCAAGACCCATCAAATTCATCTGATGCAACACAGGTCAGCAGAGGAGGAAAGCAAAAGGGTTTCCTGAGACGATAGATCACTGTCAACAAAGTTCAGTCAGCGTGAGTGAGCGGGGAGAAGGCTGACAGCACCCGCATTCTCGGTTCACCAAAACTCTTGTGTCTTAGATATGCAATCCTGCTCTGTGCCTTTAGGAGCAATAAAGGCTGCATGCATGAGCTGACCGAGGATCATGCTTGACTGAACTTCAATATTGCACTTAAATATCGGGAGTGTTCATATTGGCCAGGAGGTCACCGCACAGCAGGGGAGCTCTGAAATCAGAATACGTTCTTACAGTACATGGAGCGGATAAGAGGCCTGTGTCCTTTGATCAAAAGAAGCTGTAGGGTGTTTGGAGATCTTTAAGGTACTATAAGCCGTTTAGAGCTTCTCCAAGCTAATATTAATTGGAACAAAATGGTTTTAACAGAAAGAAATTAAGATCAAGGTATTGCAAAAATTACAAAAGATGTCTATATTGATTGTAATTTCAGCATATTTCAGATTGATGTATGGTCACCAAATCAACCCACATTTCAATCTAGCAGGACTGCAGGCAATCAATCTCTAGGTACCTGAGAACTGGGGTCCTTGCTTCGCTGCGCTGATAAGAAGGCAACAGCCATGAAATACTCAGGCCACTCCAGGTAGTCCTGCCTCTTCTTTGTCAAACCTTCACTGTGTGTTCTGATGGATTGAGAGAATGAATGCAATAAGGAAAAAAATCTAAACACCTGTTGTCATCAAAGCACACAAATACAGAAAAAAACATCCCTAATACAACATTTAGGGAACGATAGTACAGTATATGAGCATATGTGTGAACAAATGATTTTTACCAGTATTTTAAGTACATGATAAAAATAAGGACAGAATTAATATATTGTTTTTTATAGCATACATATTAAGCTTAATGAACAATGTTTAAATCATAATTAACATGTACGTGCCAAGCACCGCAACAGACTGATACTGACATGCTGGCAAGGCCAAAAAATCTGACAATATTTGCCAATATTTCAAGATTACCAGCACTGGCCGATATCCGTGCCCACTTGGACGATAAATAGTGTTAGCATTCCCTTATGCCATCTCAAAAATCAACCACGATACTAATCAAATGAATCGAAAAATTATTAAAATATTTGAAAACAGAAATTAGTGTAAAAATGTTCAGCATATGTCTCTCAATTACTACACTTACATTTTATCTTATTTCTTACACTACAGTTCAAAAGTTTGGGGACTTTTTTTTATGTTCCGAAAAAGATTAAAAACTAATATTGTGCAATATTATTAGAATTCAAAATAGTGTGCTGTGTTCTGTGACAGCAAAGCTGAATTTTCAGCATCATTACTAAAGTCTTCAGTGTCACATGATCCTTTGGAAATCATTCTAATATGCTGATTTGCTGCTCAAGCAACATTTCTTATTATTATCAATGTTAAAAACAATTGTACTGTTTAACATTTCGGTGGAAACCACAATTTTTGGTGACTGATGAATAGAAAGTTGAAAAGAACTAGGCTGTACTGGAGTGGGCTTTGATTTGATTGTCAAATTTTTGTTTGTCTTTACTCTCACTTTTGGTCAGTGTATAATTGCTGAATGCTTATTTGTTTTTTGTCAGAAAAATAAAACATTTTGAAAGGTAATATATATGCACTAAATTGGCCATCAGTCACTGACCCTGCTCTCTAGTTATTCATATCTGAAAAATCCACTAGACAAGTGTGACTAAGAGCTTGCTGGCAATATGAAAGTTTCCTGTTGTCTCAGTGGAGTACTAGATCTTTACTTGTGCTGATCTTAACACTGGCATCCCTGACGCCCCACTGAAGACTGTCTACATGTGTGATTTGAGCACTGACAGACATTATCATCAGAGGGTTCTCCTCTGGGGCTTTCCATTTTAGCTTAAAGTGATATTACACCTTTTGAGACACATCTCAGTGACTGTCTTTGTAAGGCATGGGGATTTATGTGTGAACATTTAATGGACCCATCTGACTTGACTCACTCTTTTTCCTAATGTCTCTGGTGATTCTGTCTTTTTTGAGCAGCTGTCAGAGCAGGTGTGTGTGAGTGTGTGTGTGTGTGTTAGTCTGCTGGTGAAATACTGAGCATTGATGATCTGAAGCTAATGGCGAGTGCACTGACACAATGCTGAGGCAGTCATCATTAAGCAGTTTTAAAATGTGCAGTTATCTGAAAATCATTCACACGATATAGATGAAAATGCCATGGGTTTCAGATTTTCCTTTCAGATCTAATGTGATTTGTGAGGATTATAAAAACTGTCTGTCAAACATTCATTTTGTAGTGCACCCAACATACTGCGAGCTTACAGGGCCGAAGAAGGCAAACACTATGAAGGTAGAATGACGTCAAAAAGATTTGCATACGCAGGGTAATATTTGTGGAAGTGTACATAAGACTGTAAGCGTAAATACCCTGCGTATGCAAATCTTTTTGACGTCATTTTACCTTCATAAAACACGGCCACAAGAGGGCAGTCAATCATCATGTTCATGCCAGTCCAATCTATTTTTCAGTATTTGTCAGTTGTATACACGCTGTAACACTTAATTAACAGACCAAGGCATTAACTGTTTGTGATAATGTGTCAGAAACATATACAGTTTCTGCTCATCTATTAACGTGCCCTTGTTGTCTGCACAAAGCTCACTTGTAACGAAATCTCATGCAACTCACAGTCCTCTAGCACATTTCTCATAAACACAAATCTAATGTCATGATAACGGATTCCTGTCTGACGTGGTGACAATGAATTCAACAGTAAAACAACAGATCAAAACATTACCCGTTGAGCTGTGATGTATCGTTCTTTGCATTGTGGTCCATGGCTTAATCAGAGAATACGGAGTCTGTTCTAATCGAAATTTCCTGACGCGAATCGCACTAAACACACACACACAGCACAGCAGAGCTGAGGAACTTCCCGCGAAAAAAAAGTCCAGCCCACTGTTCCGGGTTTAGACCTGTTTTTATGCAGTCTATGGTATAGACTAGAGTTGGCGCAATGAGTTGAATAGCGCCATCTCTACGCGGTTCTGCACATTACAGTGAGTTATTCTCTCTCTTTTTACAATACAGCCAGTCTTTTATCATGTATATGATAAAATACGTCTTCTTGAAATGACCTCAGCGGGTCAGCAAATGCGTAAAAAACGCGCATTCGTTCCTATATAAAGAGTAAAGTACGAATACTCTTCTGTCGTACTCTGGTTTTTGTTTTAAAAAAAAAGAAATACAGATCGTAGAATATAAAACTCTCTTTAAAATGTTTAGAAGTAATGTAAGGCGCTGTTCATTTTAATTTGACCTCCTTAAAATGATATATGGATATGAATCATTACATAACGCATCAATTTGATTATAACGAAAATAAACAAATTAACAAAACTGAAATTGCACAGTTGAAAATGTTCACTTGGAATAAAATATAAATAAACCCGATTAGTCTACCGCATGTTCTTTCACGCATTTTTAATCGATCCATGAGTTAAATTGGTCTGTAACAGATTATTTTAATAAAGTGATTTTTATACTAAATATTATTATTATTTGTTTGTTAGTTTTTATGTTTAATTTTGTATTTGTATTTTTCGAAAATGATTTTGAAGAATGCTGTAACTAAACTGTTTCGGTTCCCTTTGACTTCCATTATAGACAAACAAAGCAATGGAAGTCAACGGCAACCGAAACTGTTTGCTTATCGACATTCTTCAACACATTTTCTTCTGTGTTCAGGTATGAAATTACATGAGGGTGATTGCCATTTCTGGGTAGGCTACTTCTAATGTATGCCTTCCATAGAAAGAGTTTTCTTATTAAGTCATAAAATTATCATGAAACTATTTCATATAAATTCTCCACACCCCTTCCACGATCTGACACCACAGAAGGTCATTGCGCAATTTCGTACCCTAATTAAATCAGGCCTCTGTTCTAAAATAAGCAGGGTAACCAACCGCAGTCAGCAGAAAACAGATGGTCCATGAGAAGTGTCCCAGCACAACCACAGCGAAACTCACCCTCATTCCCACAAAGGGATATAAATAAATAATTGTGCCTTTCTGGGATCAGCACAAACACAATTCGCTCAAAATCAAGTAAGTTATATCATTTACGAGTTTTTGGAAATCCAGTTTAAAACGTTTATATTTCGAGAAAGCGTTTAACAAAACGACAAATGCCACTCAGTTGTTGTTGTTCACACGATTCCAACATACATACATTACTTAACCGAGTTCTTTAGTCACAAAATGTTTCAATCCTCGTCTGTATACCTGGTAATAATAATATTGTAATGATATTACAGTGATAATAATATTGGCACAGACATGTCCCAACACTGCTGCGATTTACTGGTAGTGTCGTCGAGTTCCAGCACAGCAGGTGGCGTGGCGTAACGTGGAAGCGGAAGTGAAAGTGAAAGAAAGGCTCCGCAGACCAATGAAACGCTCAGTTGTTTCACTTCCGCGGTCTGGTTCTCGATGACGTTTTTGCGTTATTATACAAAACACGAAAGGCAGGGTTTCTGGAACAGTTCAAAAGTCCAAATTGAAAAAAAACCACTGCCTTGTTCTTTATAAGATGAAGAAAGTATTTCTAAAAAAAAACATGATGACATTTTTTGCGTAGTTCCAGGACGGGATTGTATAACACATCTCATCGAGGGATCTTTAGAGGATTATCGGCTGCCTCCCCTGCAGGTAAATACCTAAACGGCTTCAAAGCAGAAGTATGAATTTATAAATCTGTTTACAAACAGATTCTACACGATCTTTTGTCTGTTGGGTTGAAACATGTTTACACTAATAAACGTCCAAATATGTCTCATTATGGTTTATTCATGATCTTGTATCGTTAATCTTTATTATGATATGCATTGATATAATATTCTGAATAATAATTTTTCTTGGTTTATATGGAATTTATGTGGAAGATAATCCATATAAAGAGAGAGCACGTTGTGTCCCATTGCAGAGTGAATCATCATGGCTCTACAGGGATCTGCAAGGCTTCACTCACTGCATTGCTACTGAGCACTTCACTAACGTTAACCCAAATGTTGCCAGTTCTATGACCACAACACCTGAAAATCTGAAAAAAAAAATAATAATAATTTTTTGCTGTATATCTTAACTCATTTGTTGTTTGTTTTTGACCACATAATGAGTTTTCTATGTGAGACAGAATGTCCAGTACATTTTAAATCTTCACTGTATTGGATTCTGTTCAGCGTCAAGATGCCAGTGGACAGAATGAGAATGCGCCCCTGGTTGGAGCAACAGATCGAGTGTGGGCAAATTCAAGGTCTACACTGGGTCAATGAGGTGAGAGAAGAAATCTGAAATTATAATTCATTTAAAGAAGAGTATTTTCATGCTGGGAATATATAGATGTATAAATCTTGCATCACACTGAAGGGGTTTATTCTGTAATAACAACCGGCTATTACCTGACTACTTGCCACAGGTAAATAATTAGCCTCGAAATAATGATTTGAAATTAAATATTTTATTGGCTCTTTAAACGCAAGGCTTCTACAAAGAAAAGCAGTTCCTAACAAATGGCTTTGAACAGACAAAATTCAGACAAGACAGACATTTAAGGAATAATGTACAGTCATATCACTATTCACTAATGACACAGCTTTTCACTACATAAATAAAGATGAGGACAGAAAATGTTATTTGAAAAGAAAGCATTGTAAAATTGTACCTGTTTATTATCTTAAATCTATTGCAGCATACAAAACAATCATTCTGGCAACAAGAGGAACACTTTGACAGTATTACCGCAGGCTTGAAGTCTTCCAGTTTGAATTTTTCAGCAAATACAGTCAAAAAAATTAGGCGCAAGGTGACGGCAATTGGGTTTTGAATGAAACTAAAGAGAGCATGGCATTTGCGACTGAAAACTACTGCGTGCGACTATGAAAACAATTTTAGGAGCACCAGTGCGACTGACGCGATCATCGGAGCTCAGGGTAGCTTTCAAAGGTTTCTACGTGTTTTTGCAGCGTTGAGTAATGTATCACAGACATATCTCACGAATCCTTTCATAAGCAAAGTGTAGACAGGGTGTAAATAAGAGATTCATTGCACAGTGTAGAGAGCTTCGTTGATTATAAATGTGAGCTCGCGATGAACTAAGATGAGTGACAGCTTTTGATTTTTAAGGGAGTTTGTAAATGTGATACTGATTTAATACAATACAGTTCAATAAACAAGAAGTTAATATTAAGTGACTTACATTGTCTGACTATAACACTATTGTCTGATTTTGCTCTATTTCGTCGTCGAAAATAGTTTAAAACAAAGACAGCGCATCTCCATTCAAACACAGCGGTGTTTTTAAAACGAATCTAGTGAGTCAGTGATTCATGATTACCCATTCATAAAGACAGTCACTTGCTTCATTCCTGAATGAATCAGCCGTTCGAATGAATCAATTGAATGAATGATTCAGTGATAAAATTAGATGGTCCTCACTGCAGAACACAAGATCCAGGGGGCAAGGTTGGATCCAGATCCAACTCCTCCCACCTTACATATACCTAAACCTACCCGTCTCCACGCCCTGATCCCTAAACCTACCATCTCCACCCCCTAGATGTGGATCCAACCACACCCCCTGGATCTTTGTTCTGCAGTGAGGGGCTACTGGATCAAATCAGTGACTTGCCGCCACCTGCTGGCAGTTTTAGTTTCATTTTTAAAGTATCTTTTCAGTTATTTAAATAATTGAATATTTCTATATTCAAAATTGTATATTTAAAACATTAATATCGTCATGAATTTATGGATTTAATTGCACTCATTCCACTTCTGAGCCTCATTAAATGTCTGAAAGTACACCAAGCCACTTTTGTGTTCTTCTGTGCCACCTCTACAAATTAATTTTGTTAATACTGATTTCATTTGATTGGTAACTTTTATTTCTTATTCTACGTGTTCTTATTCTGTCGTTTTAATTACAATTTTTAAAAAGCTTATAAAATATATATTTGACAAAAGATTGACAAAAGATGACACAATTTTAATAAAGTTAGAGGAGTCAAATATCATCTCGTAATGGGAAGGCTACTTTTTGATAAAATTTTGGATTATTGATTAGAAGGTGCTCCTAAAATTTTGAACGTGCTCCTAATTTTTAAAGTATCTTTTCAGTTATTTAAATCATTTAATATTTCTATATTCAAAATTGTATATTTAAAACATTAATCTCATCACGAATTTATGGATTTAATTGCACTCATGCCACCTCTGAGCCTCATTAAATGTCTGAAAGTACACCGAACCACTTTTGTGTTCTTCTGTGCCACCTCTACAAATTAATTTTGTTAATACTGATTTCATTTGATTGGTAACTTTTATTTCTTATTCTACGTGTTCTTATTCTGTCGTTTTAATTACAATTTTTAAAAAGCTTATAAAATATATATTTGACAAAAGATTGACAAAAGATGACACAATTTTAATAAAGTTAGAGGAGTCAAATATCATCTCGTAATGGGAAGGCTACTTTTTGATAAAATTTTGGATTATTGATTAGAAGGTGCTCCTAAAAGTTTGAACGTGCTCCTACATTTTTAAAGTTAGGAGCACAAGTGCTCCTAAAAAGAAAAGTAAGCGTAGAGCCCCAATGTTGCTAATGATGACAGTTATTATCGGGGAATAACGCACTGACCAATAATGTCACAACTGACCAATCAGAATCAAGTATTCCAGAGAGCCATGTAATAAATATTTATTTATGAATGAATGAATAAGCCATGGGAAAGAATTCTTAATTTGCATGTCATGTGCAGAGTTTTATAGTACAGAACTTTATATCTGTGTACGTTAATTTTGAACATGTGACTCATGTGGCAGTTTGTGTCTTTACTAATACATTGTGAAAATGATCTTGTAATTTTAAGTATGCTTGAAATGTTACTCAACTCATTGTACATGGATTGAGTAATAGTACACTATTAAAATGTTTCTATTAACAGGAGAAAAAGATATTTCAGATACCATGGATGCATGCAGCCAGACATGGATGGGATTTAGAAAAGGATGCACCTTTATTTATGAACTGGGCCATTCACACAGGTAGCTGTTGAAAGAGCTGTTGCTCATTGTCTCTTGTATAAAGAATGAGGCTAACTGCTTTAAAGGTGAAAATTGTACCATGCATTCGAGTTGATTCCGCTTTTGTATACAGCTTTGAATGTATTTCTGTTGGTTCTATTGGTTTGTAACTCCATTTTGTTGTATAATATTTTGATTCAGTTATTACTGAATTATGTTTCATACAGGAAAGTATCGTCCAGGTATTGACAAACCAGACCCTAAGACGTGGAAGGCAAATTTCCGCTGTGCTATGAATTCTCTACCAGACATCGAGGAAGTGAAAGATAAAAGCATGAAGAGAGGAAGCAATGCCTTCAGAATGTACAGATTGCTTTCCTCATATGAAAAAGCTGTTAAGAAAGGTAATTGCAGTCATTAATTAAACACAATACTATTTAGAAAAAATCCCATGTCATTCCATAGCATTTTTGCTCATATACTGTACTTATTAATGTCGATGTACATCGTTTTATTCTGGTGTATAAATTCTAATGATGGCTTTTAAGATTTTCTAAATGCATATTGTCTTTTTTCAGGGAAGAAAAAGATGGACCTGGAGCAAAGAGCAAAAGTAGGAATGCATGAATCTACACTCAAAACAACAGTGCACATTTCTGAGTATAGCAAATCAGCTCACACCTGTGTTTGATTCCTTAGAGGGTTTTTCAGAAAAGGAAAGCTGGCATTCCCAGAAAATATAAAATGACAAAAGAACAAAGTGAAGAGAATTTAATGGAAGAAACTACACCGGACAGCACTGTGCTATTTACTGGTAATTAACCAAATCATGCATTTTTTTACTGTCCAAATAAATAACAAGGCAATAATGGAGGCAGCATTAGAAAATTAACTTATTTATCTATAGTGGTCCCAAAACATATTTTGACATTCAAGCCACACTTAAAATGCATGTAGTTCATTGCATTGGATTAAATGTAATACATTTTTTAATCAAAAAGTGGTATTCATAAACAAATGATGCTAAAACTCAGAACCAACTTTTATTTAAACTTTCATTGAATTTTTAACCAACTGGTCTCAATGTGATGTATTTGTGTAAAAAAAAAATAACTTCTTTTTCTGAACTGTTTTGCTAATACAGATATCTGTCTTTAAAGTAAATGCCAAATAATTTCACATTTTATGACATTTGTTATTTATATATTTTACTTAAGGGTGGCTTAAAGGGACAGTTTACCCAAAAATGAAAATTCTGTCATTTACTCATCCTCAAATTTTTACAAACCTGTATGTGTTTCTTTTAAAAGAAGATATTTTGACGAATCTTGGTAACCAAAGAGTATCTGTTCCCAATTGACTTCCATAGTATTGTTTCCGTAGTATGGAAGTCAGTAGGTACCAACAACTGTTTGGTTATTCACATTCTTCAGAATATCTTCTTTTATGCTCAGCAGAAGAAACAAACTCATACAGGTTTGGAACAACTGCAGGGTGACAGAATTTTAATTTTTGGGTGAACTATTGTTCTTTTTAAGTACCCAAATGCTTTTTTGGTAATATGTTACCAAAATGTTAGCCCAAATAAATAAAATGTATTTTAGTAGAAATATTAATGATAACATTTCTAAATCATACATGCTTATTCATCAACGCAGAGCAGGAGTGCTCCCCTGTGCCCATGTCATCTGTGAGGGAGATGGCTGTAGCTGAATTACCTGACGTGTGTGCAGTTGTTGAGGTGGCAACGGAGAATGCAGAACCTGCGTTTAGCTCCACTGAAGTGTGTCTGCCTCTCCAGGACTCCCATGTTTCATCCTACAGTGGTAAGGTCCTTTTTTGCTTTCAGCTCTACTGTCTTTGTGCTGTGTTCACCACATGAATGATAAATTGCATATTACTGTTACTATTACTGTATTATGTTATTGTTGGTCACAAGCACAGCTGGATATCATTATGAATTTTATTCTGGGTTTTTTTTTCTCAACAGAGAGTGACACAGAGAGCACATACAGTGAGGAAGACTTAGTACAGGTATGGATGTAAATGGGGAAAAAATTCCAAGGAAGGATATCTTCCTTTTTAAAATACAACTTTCCCTTTCATTTTCTTAAATACGACTTAAGCTCTTAGATCTTAAGAAATTGTTTTAGGTAGAAGCCCGTTACAGCACATACACTACCATTCAAAAACTTGGGTTCAGTATGATTGTTTTTTTTAAAAACACTTTATTTTAAAGGGGTCCTATTGTGCCCTTTTACAAAGTCTTGATTTTGTTTTGGGGGTGTACTAGAATAGGCTCTCATACTAGGTTGTTTGAAAAACATTATTTTTAAATGTCACTATTAACTAGTTACTTATTAGCATGCATATTACAGCATATTGGCTGTTTATTAGTACTTATAAAGCACATATTAAAGGGGTCATGAACTGAGACACCAAAATTCCCTTGATCTTTTGACATTTAAGAGGTCATTGTACTATAACAACATCCAGTAAGTTTCAGAACTTAAAACTTTCTCGTTAGTCTAAAAACAGCTTATATTGAAGGCCGTCTGCCAAAACGACAGCTTGTGGAATGTACAACTCTATGATGTAATAGTGTGGCTAAGCACCGCCTCCGCAGAAGATGATCAACGCCTGCTTCTACATCACTGCCAATTTAGCCCCTCCCACTGATTTGCGCATGTAGTGTAAATAACAAGAGAGACGAACGTGCAGGTCTACACAGAAACCAAACGATAAAGATTGCGTCAGTAAGAACTCGGTCCTATGTACAGTTCATTTTACCACGGATTCATTTACAAACAATGCACAATTTGATGCAGGATTTTCAGAAAGATTGAAACTAAAGGATGGTGCTGTGCCAGCTATATTGTAACCGACAGTAATGTCGCAACACAAGTGTCAGTAACTGTTTTTATTACGTGGACACTAGTGTTTCTCTGTTAAACAGATTGTTTGATATGTACTGAGTATTTATGCATTTTTGACCTAAATCACAGCAGCATCCGTCTATGAGAAATGTCACTGTCAAACATACACAAGTGTTAGCCAATCATAGCAGTGGGTGTTTACTTCCAAGTCTACAATCTGCCACGTCTATTCAAACAGATTGTTCTTATAAGGCGAGTCAAAAACAGGACAGAAAATAGACTATTACTTCTAAATTATGTTTTTTGATGTTAAAATCTTAACATTAGAAGTGGACCTTAGAGAACAGTACAAAATAAAAAAGGCAGTTCATGACCCCTTTAATGCCTTATTCAGCATAACCATATTTTAGATCCCTTAATCCTACCTCATACCTAAATTTAGCAACTGCTATTAATAAGTAGAGATTATAGAGCAAAAGTCATAGTTAATAGTGAGAATGGGTCTCCAAACTAAAGTGTGACCAAACATGAATGCTGCATTAAATTGATCACAAGTGACAGTAAAGACACATTTTATTCAAAGAGAATCCCGAATAACATGTATCATAATTTTCACAAAAATATGAAGCTGCACAATTGTGGTTAATATTGACAATGACAAATGTTTCTTGAGAACCAAATCAGCATATTGGAATGATTTCTGAATCATCATGTGACACTGAAGCGTGGAGTAATGGCTGGTGAAAGTTCAGCTTTGCCATCACATGAATAAATTACATTTTAAAATATATTTTAAAAAAGGACTGTTATTTTAAGTTGAAATATTTCACAATGTTATTGTTTTTAATGTTTTTTTATTATTATTAAAATAAATGAAGTGCTGGTGAGCATAACATCAAAAACATACAAATCTTACTGAATCCAAACCTTTGAACGGTAGTGTACTTAGATTTACAAAAATAAAACATTTTGTTATCAAGCCATAGCCAATTTGGTAATTTATTTTGTGCTAAGAGTGTTAACTTCCCCCTGCAGCTTCCCCAGGACTTGTCTTTAAAAGCTTCACAAAGATCAGAATGTAATTCTGTGTTAAGGATCCCATCATCAGCTCAGTCCTCACCAAACACAGTATTCACATCAACAAAAATCAATTTCAAAGTGACCAGCTGCAGAGAGGACTCGCCCCTATTTGCATACAACACTCCTCCATGGTTCCCCTGCCTGTTTAATTTCCAAAAAGTCACAGACAAAGAACCCTCAAGCACTTCCCCCTCACCAGATCTCACCAGCAGCCCGACTTCTCAGGCAAGTGTGATCGCTAAAGCTGTGGACCTCTCTGTTGCAAAACACAAAACACTACAGTGAAGATACTTTACATTTACAACCTGCTGCTGTCTAGCTGATACACCTACAACCCATTATTCAGCATTAATCAAGTACTCTCAGGTGCAAGATTTCCCTCAAATATTTTCTTGTATTCGTGTTCAGCTTTTAAAACCAAACTGATTCCTTGCTATCTGAATCCGTTATACTATTATATTTCTGAAATATTTTGCAACACTACCTCATTCTCATAACGGTGTTAAATATGTAACTTGTATAACTACCTCACGAATGTGACACTTGATCACAGAAGTTGTCAGTGTTAATCTAGTAATAATGCAGCATTGGGAGAATATGCTTGTATTGATTTTGCATTGGAGTGACATTTCATACTTGTTGACAGCAGATGTAATTAAACAAAGAATGAAATAGAAGCGTTACTGGGGAATTTTTAAGGGGAATTTGCATGTATATTTTTCTACAGAGTGCTGTAGCACAATATTGAGTTTTCTTAAAGAAATGCTTAAGGTTTAGTACATTTTCATATGAAATTGTCATGTCTGAATGCATTGATTTAGCAAATTTGACATGTTCGTCAATTCAGAACGACAGAATTATTGAACTGTCTGCCTGGAAACATTGTTTTACTTGAGGTTTAGCTCTCCCATGTCCGTAGGGCACTTAATACTTGAATATAGACTCACTAATTAGAGTTGTGTATTAACTTGTTGTTTCAATGTAAGGAGATTTTTGCTTTCATTTTTGTATTAACTTTTTATGTAACAGTCACTAATTTGCATAATGAACAACTGCAGCACAGAGATTTAAAAGCAAATATAAAAACAGGTTTATTGTAGTGTCATAATGATTAAAAAATTACACAATACAAAATCTTTTCAGTATTCATTTGTTTTTGTATAATGTACATTAAAACAGTGGTTCAAAGAGTTAGTAGTGGTACTAGTTCAAAAGATGAATGTGCAGTAGAAAAGCAAATCACTTGTTGCTGCATCTTACCTTGATTTTACAATAGAGGGATAAGTCAAAATGCTATACAGCTCGGACTGTATGGCCTAAATGATAAATTGCATTCTTGGGTTTCTCCTATTGAGATTTTCATTCTTCATGTCATTTGTTTTGTCTATGATTTCATTTGTATTATACAAGGCTAAAGGTGTACAATTTCATGTTATTAATTGTGCTATATTCCTGACAAAACTTTGTACACCTATAACAAGCTTATTATAATACTCCTTGCTGAATTCCAAGTATGTTTCACTGAATTGAGAACCTATAACAACACTGTAGCACAACTGATCTAAAACATCTCAATCAGATGTAACTTCAAATTCTGTATACACAGATGTTTTAAAAGAATAGTTCACCCAAAAATGAAAACAAGATGTAGATAAGTTTGTATCTTCAATAGCGCTTTCTCAGTAAAAAGTCCATCCCCTGTTGCCCTTCGTTTGTAAACAGTGCTTGATCTGTGCATATTTCTCTCCTGATTCAAATGAGACATCCTCACTGGAGAAAGCAATATTATGGACAGATGACTCGTATTTTAACTGGATACAACGGTTTAAAGTTAAAAACTGAATTGGGAGAGAAATGTGCACAGGTCAAGCACCATTAACAAGCAAAAAGTGTCAAAAACGGTTCTAAACTCACGTCACAGTGGATTTTGATGTGAGAGAACAACAGGGGATGGACGTTTTCACCCGAAGAAGCATTATTATGAATTATTGCCAGAAGCGGCGGTTTGAAGTTAAAACACCTTAATGATGGATTTGTTTATTACAAACAAGCAGATTTTCTCTTTACAAGACATTAATCGATAGACTGGACTATTCATAAAAGAGGATCCATTGGTGATCAAGTGATGTGCTTTCTCCAAATCTGTTCCGATGAATAAAAAAAGACATCTCCATCTTGGATGCCCTGAGAGCGAGTACATTTTTAGCAAATTTTTGTGTGAACTATTTCTTTATTGCAGTCAGTGCATTCTTTTGAAGTATGATTGTATATTGTTGCACTCCTAAATCAGTTTTTTTTTCTGTAGAGGTTATACTTAGACCTGTGTACAGACTGGCTTTTACCAAAATGAAGAAGAAATTGTTTAGAAAACCACTAGTAACTGAGGTTTGTAAAAGTAGGTCATCCCCTTACTTCATTTTAGGGGGTTTGAAATAGTGGGCAATCCAGACCACTAGTCTGGATGATGAGAAGAAAAACGGTTTACTTCTCAAAGTACGGCAAATAAAAGAACTTGAATCCTCTTCGTCCCCGAACTGCACAGCTTATATAGATCACGTGATAGACTGAAACAAAAAAGGGAAGAGCAAGAGTTATTTTGCTGTTTATCTCTAGTCATAACTCGGGCCAAGCGATTAGTCAACAGAAGAGACAGACAGCTGCACGTGAGTGTTTTGCGTAATACTTGTTTATAGATCTGCTGTTTGAATTATTACTTTCTGCTAGGAAGGAATATTTAGTTTTCTGCCTATTTCTACGTTATATTTTTGTTTGCGTTTGTATTTTTGATTGCACTTTCTGCTCGAAGCTACTTGACTTCATCATCATCATTATAAAAAAATTAAAAATAAAAAAAAAATTCTCTTTATTTATTCCTTCTCTTTCTAGCTTGTACTTATTTGAACAATGTCTAGAAACTTGGTATTACAAGCACTTCCTGTATCTGTTTGCCTCTTTAAGAAGAATCGCTTTATGTATCCCCAAATTGTAAGTCGCTTTGGATAAAAGCGTCTGCAAAATGACTAAATGTAAATGTAAATGTAGCGGTTTTCTTTAAGCAATGCTGTCAGTTGAAGCCATGTTCTTCCATTGCATGGATTACACTATGACAACTTCACAATTCATAAAACTATATTATCTAAGGTCCAAAATCCACTACTGATATTCACACTGGGAAAGCTGACTCTATTAAAAAAAGCTTATATTAATTACACATTAGATCTTACCACCAGGAATGAAGAGAAGAAATCCAGGGACAAAGAAAATTGCACTTGAAACACCTAAAAAAAAAAAAGGCATAAATACATGGGTTACATAATTCTGCTGGACAAAACTGACATAAAACCAACTGGTGATTTAGATTATGTCAGAAGGTGGTGTTATTTTTGTTTTAAGGCATTCAGAGCACTGATTTAAGTTATTATATCACTTATAATTAGCTGTACAAGTTTGTGTGCTAAAGCAATCCTGCTCACATCTCATAGTTATTTACAACCAATGCCAATGTGACCGGTCTTACCTGCGTGAGGGTTTAACTGTATGACAATGCCTGTAAAGATCAAAGCTGATAGGCAGGAGGAACAGGGAGGGGGAAGATAGGAAGGGGAGAGATAATACGTTAACTAAAGAGCTGACAGTACATTTGAATTTACCATCTATGCTCAAGATCAGAGTTGACAGCAAGATAAACAAAGACAGCGCTTTAGAAGTCAAACAGAAACATCAGTTCCCAGACACCTTCCCCCTGAGATCTGTAGTACTTATTATGATCAAAAACATCACAAAAGGTATGAAAGTCTCACCAACTCCAGTGATTAAGAGGAGGAATGAGGCCAGAACGACTCGTCTGTTCTTCTTCACCAGCGGGTGAGACGTCCACCTGGGAACAATCCACAGAGAACACAGAATGAGGAAAGGAAAAACTATTTTAATTTAGCCGACCAGAGTGATTTTAGTTAATATCATCTTAAAATCTCATCCGGAAATCTGTAAACAGGTGTGTTACCCGCAGCAGTGAGCAGACAGCTGTGTGACTGAGCTGAGTGTGCTGAATGACCACTGAGAGCTGCAGTAGGACAGAGTAGCAGGATCACTGGAACACAGACAGACACCAGGCTTGACATCAGGCTTTGTACTTGTACATCAAAAAAAGCAAAGCTACATTTTTTTATTTCTTTTAGTTGGCTATTTAATGGCTTGTTTGTTTGGCAGTTGGTCACTTGTTGTTGTCTAATAAACAATTAAGATGCTGGACTAGCAATTTAAAAATATCCTAGGTGTATAAAAAAATAGTAAAAAGAAACAAACCGTTGTTATTTACGCCATTTAAAATCTGCCATTTCTAACAACTGACAACTAGATTTTACCACAGCAGCTACATGGATCAAAACTGGCATTTTTACCAATGATTAACTGGGATAAACTTGCCGTTTAAATTTCTACAATTGGAAATATATAATTTAAAACTACTACTGCTACTGAAAACTATGAGGGGCCGTACAAGCCATAATTCATTCTGGCACTCTCACATACTTACATTCTCCTTTCACATACATACATTTCTGCTTTCACACACATACATTCTCCTTTCACACACGTGCATTTCTACTCTCTCTCACACACATACATTTCTACCTTTTTTTGGTATCCATTACTTCCTGTTAAAGCAGGAAGTCACTCTCAGACCAGGAAATACATGTGCAAGACTTGCTCAGCTCTTCCTCACAATTTTACAATGATGCTATTCAAAGTAATCCTGTTTTCTTTTAAAGTACATATTTTAAGTTTTTAATTTTAAAATATCATTATGTAACCTACGTGTTCTACAGATCTGTGTACAAGTAATATGATACTGATTTTGATCGTATTGACAGGGCTCAACGCTAAGGAAATTTTCTACTGGCCCGGTTTGGACAGTGGTTTCAATTTTTTACTTGACCTGGCAAAATTTTCAGTTTTTTTGATTGAAAAGATGTTTACAATCAAATGAGCCGATTCCCATACTCATTGCCAATTTATTTAGTTTTTATTACTTTTATTTCATTATTTTTTTGTTTACATTTATTAAATGTTTATTTTGCTCTGTTACTGGCCAAACTAACCTATGCAACATGAAGCAACTGCACAAAACAAAAACATCAGTCGGGCTGAATTAATATTTTATTATTACTCTTTATTTTTATTAGTGTTTTATTACCTTAATTATATGTATGTCTGCACTATGTCTGTAGGCTACTTTCTGTACTGGAAGCTCCTGACACCAAGACGAATTCCTTATATAAATAATAAATAAAGCAATAAAGAACAATAAAGCTCTTTCTGATTCTGATGAAAATGCATATTCAATCTAAGACAGTAGGTGGCGCTTATAGAACAGTAGCAATATAGCGTTTCCTGGGTTATTGCTGTACGCAGCGCTGCGCTTATTAACACTCCTTTATTATGTATTTAACGAAGGTAAGAGGAAAAAGAAAATGCCATCGAAACTTTTCTGAAGACAGTCAGTTCTCAGAAATGCATCCATATTAACCCCCATACTAATTCCATAATTATGGCCTTCTTTAAGTATTTCGAGCATCGCAAACAATGAATTCTGTCTGGTACAGTAATTTCTCTGCTTGCGTGACTATTCTCTTCTCTTTGTGTCCGTCTTCAGTGCATCTGTCTTTACAGGTAGTATATCATGATCATCACTACGTTTGTGTTACCGAATTGCATCCTGTGAGGAATAACTTGCAACCTCCCCCTTTATTCACTTCCTAAATTAAGTGGGAAACAAAAAAATCCATAGACGCTTATAATACGCGTATCTGGCAACACGACTGAGGCCCTAGCCTCAATCACAACTCGCTCAAGGAACGAGGCCATGTAACCTTTTCACGATGATAATGTATATATTTTTTAAACCCAAATAGCTTGCTGAAATACTTCTAGAATTCTGAAATACTAATAAACACTTCTACCTCATCTACCTCATCCATGCTGATCAGGACCTGTCCCGGTGACCCTGATCGCACCTGACCTGCCTTCCGTTTCCACTATACTTTCTCTCACACATACATACATTCTTCTCTTACATACACATATTTTCTTCAGACATACATACATTCTATATATATATGTATGTGAAAGGAGAATGTAAGTGTGTGAGAGTGCCAGAATGAATTATGGCTTGTACGGCCCCTCATAGAAAACATAAGGTGAACTACTAATATATATATTTGAAGTAAAGTAGTTCACCTTATGTTTTCAGTAGCAGTAGTAGTTTTAAATGTATTGTCATATCAGGATCACAGGCTATTTCATGGCACATACAGATTATGCATCCAGTAAATTCAAACAACAGAGTAAATACAAATATTCTGTCTAAACAATTTTGTATATACATAACTCTATTTAATCTTTTTTTATTTAATTATTTATTAGTTAAAATTAAATAAATCAATTATTTATTTATTTCATTATTACTAAATGTCAATTTAATGTTACTTGTGAATTCTGAGTCATACAAAAATGGAGTAAAAGTTTTTCCTAATATAAACCATTGTCTCTTGACATTAAAAATTGGACAAATCAAAAATATATCCACTTGTTTTTAGACAGTACCAGTTCAACAAGAAAAAATTTTTCCTTTTTGACTTTCTGATTTCTTAATTTATACAATAAATATGTTTCCTGTTTTGTGAGATTTGTAAGCCCTGCTTAAATTTTTTTATTCTGCTTTTTCAATCTGTCAACATTCTATCATTATAATATAATTATAATACAATAACATAATAATAATACAATGTTTATTGTATCATTATAATACAATAATAATAACAGTGGAAAATGTACATTACACTGGCAAATCATTGCTGACAATTGCTGTTTATTGCATATTAAGGTTTTAAATCTCAAGTGATTTTAATTACTGACATTTAATGGCAACTTTAAGTGGTGCAACATACCTTGAATTAAAACCTAAATCAACCGTTTCTACATTAATGTTAAACTCTGCTTAATTAAATCTAATGAAGGTGCAACCCATCCTTCATTCTGTACTATGCTGCTCATATTATTACATCCGGTTAATTTCCTTGCTTTATGAGAATGTTCAAACTAAAAGTGTGAACTGCCAAACCTGATTTTGAAGAAGTTATTGAAAGAGGAGTTCACAGTGCCACTTAAGGCATCTTCATTTTCCAGGTTCTGTGGGTAAACACAAAATAAAGTTCAGTCACGTTTGCATGTAAAACACTCTCAAAAAGAAAAGCGGGGTACATGTAAACACCTGACCTGATATTTCAGATTACTGTGTTCAGGAGTGCCAGTGGGTCCAGAAGTTTGTGTTTTGGCAAAAGAAAGAGGTCCAAACGTCATCTCTCCCCCGCCATCCTTCTCTCTCCCCTTCCTGTCCCCCACATCCTCTCCAGGCACCACACCTTCCTCCTCCCCCTCCAGGACGAACGCGTCATCGATTGTGAACTGTGTCCCCATTGCTATAGGCCCTCAGCTATTGGTTGGGTGTTAACTGGCAAGCACTGTGAAGTTGATAAACATCTTAGTTTAGTTACTGATCTTCTACACTCTGGCCTCTATATTTCTCATAATGCAGTGTGGTGCATTGACTGCCCTATAAAATTCCTTTACAATATACAATAATTAATTTTATTTATTTTTTACATCTGAAAACCAACCACCAAACTATTAGGAAAGGAGAGCAAACAACATTCTCTTCTTTAGATTAAAGCTGCTCAATGTAGCTAATGTACAGACCATTTCAAATCGAATGGTTTACAACATTTTATAAGTACAGTAAGGAAGTGTTTTATAAGGAAAATGCAAAAATTTACTTTTTTGTTTTTATTATTTATTTAACTTTTTTACTAAAAAAATGTAAAGGGTGTTTTAAGGCAGATTCAGGTTTAGATGTAGAATAAATGGTTAATTAATAATAATTAATTAAAAGTAATTGCCTCTAGGAAGCATGTGACTGACACGCTCTTCCGCTTGTTCTTAACAACAGATTGTTTGCGTCCACCCCAAACAATCTACATCTTGCACACTATAAAGTAACCCGTTACATACGAAACGCAACTTTAAGAATTATACTATAATAAAATGTGAGTTTAAACCCCTTTACGTGTTTGAAACTAACAGCTGTTTTGACGCAAAATGTCTACTGCTAGTTTTACGAGTTTGTCTTAAGATTTAAAGCAGGGGTGCCCAAACTCGGTCCTGGAGGGCCGGTGTCCTGCAGAGTTTAGCTCCAACCCTAATTGATTTAAAGAGTCGAACACCCCGTTATCAACACCAACAAAAGCGCAAAACTACAAAGGAAGAATCCTCTACTTACTGTCCATTACTCTTGATCCTCGTCAGTTACTCATAGATCTGTCTGCTATCATCCTTAGACCACTTCCAAGGTATACAAGGTTAGTAAATCTGTTTAAATGTATTATTTACTCGCCGGCGAAAAATTGTAACCTAAACTTTGCTAGTAACAGCTGCTTCTTTTTTGTGGGTCGAGTCTAAACAGACAAAAGTAGCGGTTGTATGTTCAGCGACACCTGGAGGACTGGAGGATACAATTATTACTGTAGTCACTCTACATGAGAATATGGAATATTTTGATATATTTGCACAGGAATGATAAATGTATATTTATATATGTTGCTGATATTTATTGTTATTATAATTTAATTGAGTAATTATTATGAACAATGTAACTTAAATTGTAAATATATGTTTAATAATAAAATATAAGGAAACGGAATGGCAATGGTGAGTATGACTTGATTTGATTTATTGAGATAAAATGAATCTTGATGGGTGCATAGTGAAAAGCAGTTATTTAGACACAAGGACATATTAGTTGCTTACAGCCCCAGTGTGTTTCTATCTGAATGTGTATTTTGAATTGATGAATGAACTTATCAAATTATTCCTTCATAAATACATTCTGGTGTAATTCATCCCTTGGATTTAATGTGAGATTAAATTATGTAAGAAAGATTTGTGTGAACGGAAATTTGTTGTTTCATTGTTAAATATTTGCTGAAGTGTCTTTTTCTTTGGTTCTAGCAACACAGATATTTCCCTACTTCCTTACTTACTACATAACTGCATGTAAATAAAGATGTGCTTCTAATGCTAAATAAGTTTGTCACCTTTTCTGTAATGGCTCTTAGTTGCCCAGTACCATTCTACAATTGTCTCTACAGCTGTCTCTCATTCGATTCCTCTTGTGGTGTGGACAATTGTTAATCTCTAGTAAAATCAAGTCAGTATGATGAATTTGTATAATTTACTTTTCAGGCACTTTTCAGATATCTGTGAGGAGTAACTATCCATTATATTTTATGCAATACCTTTAATAAAGAATACCACAGTTTTGAAATATTTTATTTTCATGTTTTAGATTAGAAAATGTGAGGTTAATGATATATTATTGCCTAGACAGAATATTTATGTCCTGAACCATTGTGACAACATAATCGCAGTTAGATGTATCCATTGTTAAAATTTGAATAATTGAAAATAGGGTCAATAATTTCTCCTTTGTCCATTTTCCACCATCATGTCACTTCATCTGACCATTTTGAAAAATATCTGTAGCATTCAGGTTCTGCTTGTTGTATTCAATTCAGCACATTTGACTAATTTTATACATAGGCATGTGAATCTGTAATCTAATGTCTATTCCACTAGATGGTGGCAAGATACAGCCTACAGAAAAACAGTAGCGATGGGTTGGACCCCCTTTTGCCTTCAGAACTGCCTTCATGGCATAGATTCAGCAAGGTGCTGGAAACATTCCTCAGAGATTTTGGTCTATATTGACATGATAGCATCACACAGCTGCTGCACATTTGTCGGCTGCACATCCATGATGTGAATCTACCATTGCATCACATCCCAAAGGTGCTCTACTGGATTGAGATCTGGTGACTGTGGAGGCCATTTGAGCATAATCAACTCATTGTCACTCATTATTGTTTGAGATGATTTTTGGCTTTGTGACATGGCATATTGTCCTATAGGATTTAGGATACATCTAAAGCCTAAAATCATCAGTATACTGGAAGTAGACTATGGGATTTATTCTCAACTGGTACTAAGGGCCCAAAGTGTGCCAAGAAAATATCCCCTACACAATTACACCACCACCAGCAGCCTGCACCGTTGATACATGGCAGGATGGATCCATGCGTTGATGTTGATTGCGCCAAATTATGACCCTGCCATCCAAATCTCGCACACAGAAATCAAGACTCCGCAGACCAGGCAAAATTTCTCCAATCTTGGTTGAGCCCATGTGAACTGTAGCCTCAGTTTCCAGGAGTGGCACCTGGTGAGGTCTTCTGCTGCTTCATGGTTCGACACGTTGTGTGTTCAGATACTCTTCTGCACACAGTACCTGTACCTCTGTTGTATCAAGTGATTGAGTTACTGTTGCCTTTCTGTGGGCTCAAACCAGTCTGGCCATTCTCCGCCGACCTCTAGCATCAACAAAGCATTTTTGCCCACAAAACTGCCTCTCACTGGATATTTTCTCTTTTTCTGACCATTCTCTGTGAACCTTAGAAATGGTTGTGCATGAAAATCCCAGTAAATCATCAGTTTCTGACATACTCATACCAGCCCACCTGGCACCGACAACCATGCCATGTTCAAAGTCACTTAAATCACCTTTCTGAACTCCAGCAGATCGTCTTGACCATGTCTAAATGACAAAATGCATGCAGTTGCAGCCATGTGATTGGCTGATTATATCTTTTTGTTAATGAACAACTGAACAAATGTACCTAATAAAGTGGCTGGTGATTGTATGAAGTTGATCCATGAATCCTTGCAAATTCAGCTATTTTCTTTTTCATGAATCATATTCAATTATTCTTATTATGATTCAAAGAATGATTTGTTACGTTCAGACAATATAATCTTACACTAGAAATGGAATGCATCAAGTACAAGTGATTACATGCGATGAAATAAAAAAATACAAAAATGTCTTTAATGCCCTTCTCACATAATCGTTTCAATAATTCAGTTTTTCATTTGGCATGCCAACAGATTTCCTTTAAAACTGTATAAATGATTGCAGAAATGTAATGTGCTGTTTAGGTAATATTATTCAACCAGCATCATGATGTAGAAGCGCCATCCAAAATAGCTAATGGTAGGCTATAACTTTAAGACACTGCACTGAAAGCTTTCAAGACACAAGACATTTAAAACATATAACCAAACATGTTATTTTATTGTCTGAAAAAGTAACACAATCTCCCAACTGGGTTTATCACATACACTACCACAACGATGAAACACCATTACTACACAAATAGGGACTTCTTTTCAAATATTATAGACATTACAAAAAGATCCCTCATGTCTTTCAGTTTTGTTTTGAAGTTATACTAAGCATGGCAGATTGATTTCATTTACAGTATGATACTGTACACTGTCACCATTTAGAAACAATGTTGTCTGATGTGGTTCTAAAATCCATAATGTTAAGGGAAGACATTTCATGGTCATTTTTATTTCATATGAAATATTTTACAATATAAACAAAGCATCCGTCTTGGATGGACTTAACAGCAACCAGAGGCCAGGCATTTCAGTGCAAACATGTTTTTTTACAAGGCAGTCTTGGCTGCATTACTCCCTTTTATCTATCAAAAACGAACGGGAAAAAATAAAATAAAATAATAAAATGATTACCAGATGAAGGAGGGGATTCCAATTAAAACTAAATTTCACAAAATGTGACAGATATCCAAAATGCATCCTCTGACAGAGCCTTGGTAAGTAAAGGAGGCCACGTGTTTGTATTAATGTCCAACGAAAAAATTCAAAAGTGTAGTCATCACCGAACTGAAATATACTTCTGGACTTAAATTGTTGTTTTAAGTAAAGCTCTGTTGCAATGATTTGAGAAAGTATCTATTTATAGAGCAGACGTTATGAGGTGCCTGCTCTGTCTTAATGTTGCTCTCTGATGTCTAGCAATGATATAAAATTACCATTTAATATATGAGGCTCGTATCTTTCTACAATCTTCTCTCCACCTCCAACTACAGGGTCTAAGAGGCTGTTTGGACCCTAACCACTGACCTCTCAAATATAAGGTGGGAAACTGAAAACAATACTATTGTAATCAGTATTGCCAAAAAAGCAGAAGGCAGGTAAACTGTTTTTGATTTAGGCTGAACTCCTAAAATATCTGTTGAGGTGCTTATATTTATAATATCGAATGTAGTCCCTTGATTTCTATCTAGATGCATTTTTAACAAACTAGAGGTATGGTTACTCACTGGGCTTGAAATAATGAAGCAGATAAACAAATATTCATGTGAACGGAACAGCAGAGAACTGAAAATGGCTTCTTACCCAAATTGGAGGGAAAACATAAAATTGGAAATGTTCTGTTGATGTGGTGCTAGACAGATTTATACACAACTTGCAAATAAGTAAAAGACACTTCTGTCAAAAACGGAGAAAATCGAGTTGAAACTACAGCACTTAATACTGATTAATTTAAAATAAGTTCTCTTAGTTACTATGTCCGCCGCTCCTTGTCAACATTCACAGAGAAGTGGCTGATAGCGCTGTGTTCCACAGGCAAAGAATCCAAATCTGTACACGTCCCTACCTTGTTGTTACACAGGTGGTGGAGGTAGCTAGTTATGTGCATGTATGTGGGGTTTAGGGTAGTTTGCATGGCTGATTGCAGGTGTGTGTATGTGTGGATAATAGTCGAGCGAGAGGGAGTGAGCTGAATGTGATTCAAACACAATAAGTCCCACTGGAGGATATCCACCTAAACACTCATCACAAAGCAACAAAACTGTGGAGGGTATGGGCAAAGAATAAATAAAAGATAAAAAGGGAGAATCACCACATAATAGCACCAATGGATACGACATGAGCTCTGCTCTCTTTCCCAAATCTCACCCAGTCACTGCCAGAAGGGACACAACCATTAATTCTGGTGCATTCTTGAGATGGCACGCCAAACAGTTAAAGCCATAGTCCAAATTTTCAAAGCAAGTATTTTAATGTTTAATTTCATCTTTGAAATGAGCCTTTGCTCGTGGATCTGAGACTTATTGTATATTCCACACAGCAGGTCAAAACCTGATGCAATCTATTCAACTGTGACATTTGAAAGGAATGATAAATAACAGCGGAGCAAATTATTTGTACATACTTTCATTGAATGAGTTGTCTCAACCTAAAATAAGCATTTATTGAAATCATGAAAAAAATTGAGAAGATTGTGAATATACATATCATGTGTTAGCTGGGGCAGAATTTTTAGCCATATCATCTGTCGACCGTATTTTCCATTGAGGTCAGGGACATGATTTGAGTAACAGCTCAATTCCCAAGGAAAACAACAAAACGAACAAAAAAGGTCGAAAATAAAACACCATAGTGGTCTGGGTTCAAATCAAGTAAGAAAATCTTAAAAAACAAAAGGTTTTATCAGAGCAGCAAAAGGGCCTAGTCTCTGAATCCCGCTGGCCCAAAGGAAGAGAACTGTATGACCTTTCCGTGGAGTGTTTTTGGACGCAACACCCGTGTTCCCGCCATTGCGATTTCCAACATCCTCCTTCTTTCGTGACAACAAATAAAGCCATCAAGCTACACAGAAGACAAGCATGTTTCCAAATCAACAATGACATCCACAAGTGTCCTGGTTCATGAGACTAGGTATCAGGTTCACACCGGCGTAAAACACACACCTGTTTTTTTTATTTCAAAAGGGAATAACAATAAAAATAATCTACATCTGAATTAAACTGAGACGAAAATGCAATTGAAATCATTTATATTTTTTTGTCTACAAAGAGCGTTTTATTCCCTTAAGAAACAAAGATTGGTGAAACCATCCACAGAAACATGATTATAGACTGATGTTTTTACCTCTTCTTAGGAGAGTTAACTATTCATGACCTGAGATTAAATATGAACTTTAATGAAACAGGTAAATCCATTACATAGTGTAAAGGTGCATTCAAAGTAATTGTATGCACAATAAGTTTGGGTAGTAAAAAAAAAACAATAGTCCTTTTTCAAAAAACAAAAAAAACAAAACTTTAATTTCAGACGAGATTATTTTTATCCACTAATTCAGTCTATGTATTGTTTGATTAAGCATGTGAGTATGATTCTTATTGTGTCACCAATGTAGCTAACAGTGTCATGACAAATGTATTTATTTTTAGGAATATTATACAACATTATGAACCATGAATTAAATGTTGCTCAGATTAGAGCTTTTATGCCTCATTTTTTAACTTGTACTGCATACCAATATCACAAATCTGTAAGACCTTTGACCTGCACATCAGCATCTATTTCTTAATGTGTGCAAACTTAATCCATTGGCTGGATGATCTCTAATCTGTGACTGACAAAAATACTCTTGAAAACAAAACATTGTTAAATTACCAATTACTTCAAGCCTATTTTGAAAATAACGGTTGATTCCAACTGGAGAATTTCCTGATTAATTGCTTGTTAAGGTAAATCCTATGAAATTTCCTTTTCCATGTTTTTCCCTTTTTTTCTTTTTTTGCAGTGACCATTTATGCTGTGGGAACAGTCTCTGGAAGCCATGCCTGTGGGTTTAACAGTCCCCATGTAGTCGAGGTGCTTGATGGAGGGAGTCACCCAACCTCCTGCACTTAGGCATCCCAACATTGCAGATCACCCTGACCCTACGTCAACCCAGATGGGCCCATGTCAGACGCTGGTGATGGAGGCAAGGCAGTTGGGGGATTTCTGCAGTTTCTCAGGTTGCGTGGTAGGGGGCTCTGGGATTGCACGGAAGCTGAATGGGGGGCCGATGCTGGTGGTACCCATGTGGCCTGGACTTAGAGCCGGATTCTGTCGCCGGTTACTCTCCACAATGCTCGAGGTGTTGGACGCCAGGCTTTCCCGTGTGCTGAGAAAGTGGTTGTGGTGGGGAAATGACCAGAGAAGAAGAGACAGAGAAAGAACAAGAGTAGAGTTTAAGACAAGATAATGGATTCATTATTTTGAGGCATGAGAAACAATGTAAAGCATCACACAAGGCCTCAGAAAGAGAAAACACAACCTCACCCTTACCTATGGTTTCGCTCTGGTTTGCAGGATTGTTTAGCTGTATAAAATATATATAAATATATTGTAGAAACCTAATTTTCCGTAAAGCTGCTTTGCAATGATTTGTATGGTGAAAAGTGCTATACAAATAAACTTGAATTGAATTGAATTTAATAAAAACAGTGTACTCCTTTATGATAGTATGACAACAATAATATGTTCAAGCAGCTATACCACAAGCACTGACAGCCAACCATAAGAAAGAGGATATATTTTAGGGAGAAAAGATTTGAAGGAATAAAGGAATAGTTTGACAAAATATTAAATCATCATTTACTCATGCTCATGTTCTATGGCTGTACTCCACAATGTTTCCACAGAAAACAAAAGGAGAAATTTTGAAGGAGTTTTCCCTGCCTTTGTCCGTGAAATTACAATGAGCAGATACTGAAGCTTACACAATTCAAAATGGACACAAAAGCACCATAAATGTATTATAGGTCCATATGATTGTGTTAAAAACAGACTGTAATTAAAATTTTTATTCACTGAAAATCTTCACATACTGTAGCTCTCCATAGTGCATTCATGTAGAAGTAGCAATGTGTTAAAGTATTTAGTGATGCTTTTTTCACCATTGTGATTTTGTTTCTTGTGTTTTCTAAAACTTGAAGCTTTCATTGTAATTCACTGTAACTATATGGAAACAAAGTCATTAAAATACATTTTTTGTGTGTGCCA